GGCACTTAGCAGGGGGAAAGATTCTGGGATATGATTGAGATTGGTTAATGGACGCAACAAGGACGTTGCGTTCCTAAGTGGGGGTGATTGTAACACTTGAGATTTAATTTAAACGGATTAATAGTACTACTCATACCAATAAGGTGCATCTCCTTTTAAGGAAGCTCATTAGCCAAGAACTCCAAAGTTAAGCGTGCTTGCACGGGAGTAGTCTTGGGATGGGTGACCCCTTGGGAAGTTTCTCAGGGCACGCATGAGTGAGGACAAAGTGCGCGGAAAAGGCTAGTGGCGGTTTGTGAGGACAGTACTAGAGGTCAGAAGTAACTACCTTGGGGCCTACGGGGCCGGGGTGTTACATAATCCCCCTCAGGAAAGACATCGGTTCAAATGAACCGTGCAGCACAGATGCCCCCGGGGCGAGGGAGAGCTGAAGAATCTCCTGAGGCAAGTCCTCCGGGGGAAGATTTGTCTGGGCCATCGGAGTGTCAACAGTCGGGGAGTCAGCGGAGGGCTGATCATCAATTACTATGGGGGGGGGGGGGGGGGCATTCCAACGGTGCCCCCGGCAACCTTCTGTTTCTTGATCGGGGACTCCACCCCCTTGCCTCCCTATATCTTCTTGACGGCCACCTCGGCCTTCGGCCCCCCGGCCTCAGTAGCAAGGGCAGCATCAGCAGAAGGCTCCACAACCTCCTTCAGGAAGACCTCATCAATGGGATTTTGGCCCGAGGGCTCCTTTTTCTCCTTCTTCTTGACCTGAGCCCTCTCCTTCTTCTTTTTCATGGCAAAGAGAGCCTCCATACCTGCAAAACAATGAAGAGAAAAGATAAACCCGAAGGATCCATACAACAGACAACTATCGGGACGCAAAATAAAAATGCCTAAGTACAACAACTAAGGGCCCTCGGCTAGTACCTCCAGCCCCCCCGAAGGGTCTGTCCAGCTTGGGGTACTTCTCATCTGCCTCCCCAATGTACCGGTACCGTTGGAACCCGAGGACATGCAAGTCATCCTCGAGAGTACATTCTTTGATCGTCACGATCTTCTTCTTGCCCTCCGGGATCTTGGCGAGTTTCAGGCCATCCTTCTCTAGAGCGATACTCCCCACATTCTCGTGGCGCCGAAAGTGGTCCCGTAGCTCCCTCGGGAACGGGTTCTCGGCCAACCGGACATAGCACCATTTGTCTTTCCAGCCCTTGTTGGACGAGGGCGCCTCGGTGAACAACTTGAACTTCGCTATCTGCTGCAAATTGGCGAAGCCCTCGGCATTCGTGTGCCCCCCCCCTCGGCACAAGTTGAAGCTTTGGAAGAAGAGGTCCAAGCTTGGGGTAACATCCCTCGTCCGGCACAGGTGCAGAAAGCCAGCAATATATGAATGGCTGTTGGGGGTAAGTTGGCAAGGGACAAGTCCAACGAACTTGAAGTACTCCCGGAGAAATGGGTGCAGGGGGAACCGAAGGCCCATTGACACCGACAGGATGTGGACGGCAATACATCCCTCGGGTGGCCGGGACAGCAAATCATCGACGCCTGGCTCCACCACTTCGGCCGAAGGCCCAACGTGCAGCTGCGTGATGTACAAGTCCACCTTGTCCGCCTTCGACTTGATATCGAGGGCCTCGGTATTTAGCCAGGTATACCCCTCGGGCATTTCAACCGGCCCCCCAGCACCAGCGGCAACACCTTTCTTCTTGGGGGCAGCCCTCCTCGACTTCATCTTCCTCTTCTTGCCGGGGGCCATCCTCATAGGCGTCGGGTCCAACGGCCTGGAGGTACTAGGCTCACCACAATCATTCCGAGGGGGTGGCACAGCAACGGTAACCGTCATCGCTTCCTTTTGAGCTTCGTCCTCCGCCACCTGGAACGCAAGGGCTAATTCTTCATCTTCGCACTCCTGTTCGAAGCCCTCGGCTTCCACTTCAGCAACAAGGGCCTTCTGCAACTCCAAGGCTACAGCTTCGTCATCGGAAACCGAGGGCGCACTGCTAGTTGACTCTACATCAGAAGCAACCTCGTCCTCAACCGAGGCCTCCCTTGAGATATTCTGCGAGTCACTTTGGGACGACATCCTTGGTGTACTTAAGCTAAGACTCCTAAACCGAGGGTTCTCTACAAAGCTCTAACACCTAATCTAAGGCAAGGGAGCAAAAGCTTACGAAAAACGGTGAGGAACAAAGGAAGAACTGACCTCTAGAAGTTGCTGTGATCGAGGGTGATTTTCTCTCTCTAGAAAATTTTCGGCAGAACTTCGCTAAGACAAATGATCGCGCAAGAAGAAATGACTCTGGCTCCGGGGTATTTATAGGCCCCGGAATCCGGGCTTGGGCCTGAAAACCGCCCCCCCGGCTACAAGTCATCATTACTTGCCGTCATTTCACCCAACCAGTAACGCCCGCCAGCGGCCAACCAACCGCTAATCGCCACATGTACCCCCCCAACGGCTATATCCTGACGTTACATATTCCAACGGCTATATTTCCAACGGCTATATTCTGGGAGCCCCCGGAATTTCTTACTTCACTCCACTTCATCAAGGAGAGCCTCCGGGTACACTTACCCAGAGACGCCCCCAGGTTGTGCCCACACAGTACGTAACAGTCCCCTTCGGGACCACTCCTTCAGAAGCCCCAGGGCTTCATATTAGGCCACCCCTCGGGGATTCCCCCTCAGCACTGTAAGGGCCGGGTAGCCCCCGGGGAGTATGCCTCATTGACGGGTAGCCTACGGCACATAGGTAATGAGGGCCCTCGGATATCCTCATCACCAACTAATCAGCAAGCACGGGCAATAATCAACTATTGCCCTCATCCATCACGCCCTCGATCCCCAGATTGAGGGGCTCCCCTTCATCACCTCCCAGGACATCAACAGCAGGCCTCCAGCTACTCAACACATGAGCCCTCAGAACAAGGAGAGCCTTCGGCATTACCATTATTCTCCATTTTTGACCAAGGTTTCACATTTTCGATTCATCGTTGGGGGAATTCGGTGCACTCTTTTTCCCTCATTAGGATTTTTTCCCCCAGGGTTTTCCCTAATGAGGTTTTTAACGAGGCATCCCCCCAAAATGAAACGAAAAGCGTCAGCCTTCGGCCCACAACAGCAGCGCAACTACTCTACTCCTTTTTACCACTTTACAAGTGCCTCAAGGAGTGGGGGACTGGAGGACCCCCTCGGGAAAATAAATAAAATACAAAATGGTGAAAAATTCCAACAAACGGCCAAGCAATCCCTCATGTCCCGACATGTGGGTAACTGAGGGACTGCCTTCGGCAGGGACATGAAAGCAACGACTCCTCACCAACTTCAGAGATTACAACGGGACAACATCAAAGGGCAAGCACAAATTACTCCTTTTCCCTCAAGTACCTTTCGGCAAAAGGAGTGAGGGACTCGTGATAGAGTATATGGCCCGGGAACCCCCGGCCCACAGACTCCTACTACACCAATAAAGGCCCAACCGGCCCAGGAAGCACAGCAGGCCCCAAATTACGGCGCCCCAAGCACTTAGCAGCCCACAGCGCACACTGGGGAGCCTTCGGCCCCCTGGCCGAAGGCTCAAAACTCTCACATAACAGGTTTTTCAAGCAAACAAAGAAACTGGGAGAAAACGGCAAAAACAGTAGCCCTCGGCACCAGGAGCCCTCGGCACCAGGGTGCCCTCGGCTTGAGGAGCCTTCGGCTACTGCTCTATAGCCGAAGGCACCTCACTCGACAAGATCTCCTCTCCACGCGCATCTGGATCGCCGTACCAAGTACGACGTCGCATCAAACAGCCGCATTAAATGCGGCCACATGGGAGCGCCAGTGCCACCCCGATTGAGGTGACCTCTCGGCCAATGGACGCTTGATACGTGTCCCTGTCTTGCATTTATTGCTACTATAAATAGCACCCCATTTCCCCGTTGTAAACCACGCTTTAACGCCTCAACTCAATATACTTTCTCTCTCTTACTTGCTCTGACTTCTCTCTAAGCTACTCCCCGCAGTAAACCCTCGGATAAGCTACCCCCCGGGTACACTATCCATCACTCACCCTACCCCGACCGGGTAAGGTTGGATACCCGACCGGGTATTGGGTTATGCTCAAAACGGGCAGTTTTGAGTAGGTTAACGTGGGCCGTTCAGGTGGGACCCGTCCACGTTGGTTACTAAGGATGTTTATATGACTATAGGGCTAGGTATTGTCCATAGTTAAGGGAATGAAAGGTTATCCATATTGTAACACCGCCCCCAAGTAATTGTACTTTATCAAATTATGTATTGAACCCTGAGAAATGAATAAACGCATTTTACGTGATCGTAAATTTTTATCATTTCTTTTACGTGAATAGTGAAATTCACGTGGGGCCCACACCGGAAGTGGGGGGGGCGCCCGATATTATCGGGACCACATATTATATTAATCTGGGCCTAGATAGTATGTATATGGTGGTGGATATCCTAGTTGGGCCATGGCAATGGCATAGGGTTGACCGGTTGGTCAAACGGGGCCGAATTATCAGTATCGACAATTTATCAGATAACAGCCCGAAAAGGAATTTCGGAGACTTCTAAATTAAAGTTGAGGAATGTATATTCATCATAAAGTCCAAAAAGGATTCAGAACATGCGTTATATTTTATTTGACCCGATAAAATAAAATGTAATTAAAACAGTCTGGAAAATACAACTTTCGGGACCGATTGTACACTTCTGGACAAAAAGGATTGACCTCCCACATGGGTGGGGGCCAACCCACTAATTTAGCCACATTATTCAAGGCTTGAGTCGGCTGGTATGTGAGGTGAGGTGGGGGAGGACTGATTTGAGATGTTTGGCATCAAAACAAATCATGGTGGCCCTCCTCTCTTAACCTTTTAGAGGTTATTTGTATTAATATGGGTTTTATGATTATGAAACCTTGTTAGGAATGTAACACCCCTAAATTTCCCGCCCAAAACATTGACATATTTAAAAGAAATACTTTATTCATTCATCAAAGAGTTGAAGAAATACAGCGGAAGTCTAAAAGGGAAATGAGTGTTACCGCCACATTCGGTCATCTCTTAACCGAATGCACAGGCAACTCAAAGTAAAACAATAAAAACTAATGTAATAATAAGTAAATGTTTGATTTATGACTAGATTTAACTAAGGCATCTTCTAATTCGCACTCAAGCTCGAGCAATCCGTCAATCCACATAGGTATCCAACTCATCACCTGATTTAAGGGAGAAAAGAGAGACAAGAAAATAACAAAAATTAGCTTTAGAGCTAAGTAAGTACTACCCAACCCCGTAAAATAATCAGGTTTGGCTAAAAATAGATTTTTATATAATAATATATAAAAATACTCACACCATCAAAATTCTTTTCACTTTGGTTTTTCTCAAACTACTTCTTTGCTAAAATCTTAAACTTCTCTTGGAAAATCTCTTAGTAACTCTTCTTTTTAAACTTCTTAAGAAAATCACTTCTTCTCTAATTTCCTAGTAATTTAGAAGGGCGGTGCTCAACCTTTCGATAGAGCCCGGTGAACCGTGGTTACGGACGGCCACCCCGAACAAGTGCCGGTACCACAACTGCTCTGTTGGAAACGAAACGACTACCTTAAGTGTGCACACCCCCTAAAAGGGATTCCAAGCCCTCCGAGTAGTAAGTCATCCCGAGTGGTCGGAACCCAACCACCCCAATTCTAAAATTCTTGAATGATTAGTGACTACTACTATAACTTCTTCTTAAAAGGGATCATAGATCCAAATCTTACTTAAAAGGGATCATAGATCCAAATCTTACTTAAAAGGGATCATCGATCCAAATCTTACTTAAAAGGGATCATAGATCCAAATCTCACTTGAAACTTAAACTGTACTTCTTAGTAGTAGTAGCTCTAATCACCCTCCACATTTATCCGGATGTGGAAAAACCGACACCTCGAATTACTCCCGAGATGCTCACTTCTTATAAAAATGTAAATTTTATCTTTGCTTAACAATACTTCAAAAATACTTCTTAATTTCTCTAAAAAGTCTCGAAGGTATTTAAAATATTTAATACCCCAAAAAGTACTTAATTTATATTTCTCAACCACCATATATATAATATCTCCTCAAAATCACATACACATAATTCAAAATTCACACTTAATCACATAATGCATAATAAGCATATAATACGAGGAAACAAATTTTGGATTGGCAGAGAAACTTACCTTAAGTCCTGTTGCTCCTAGTTATCCTCCTCTAATCCGGTCTCTAGATAATCACCTTTTTAATTAAATATGATAAATTAGTCACTTATTCTATTTGTAATTACTTTACCCGATTTTTCCCTTTTATTGTATTATTCGCATAAACTTTGGTTAATCACTTTTTATTACTCAAATTACCTTATTAATTCAGCCATTAATTACAATATTTGAATTCTAATATTAAATAAAATATCCGAATATTATTGACTACAACATCCACTTTTTATTCAATAATCACCATTAATTTTCTCTAATTATTATCTAATTACTTTATTTACATAACCGAAAATATTTATTTTCCTTATTTTATTCAAACATTATTTTTAGTCCAGAATATTATTTTTCAACCTCAGAAATTTATTTATTTCACCATTAATACTAATATTTCCTTATTTAATTACTTAACTAGTTTTATATGGCCTAATTTAAATAAATAGACTAAAAATCGACTTTATAAATTAGTAACCGTCCATAAATATATTTTGGGTCTATATTAGACCTAGGTTGTTCAGATATCTATTTTATAATTATTTCCCATAATTATTCCTTTAATTTCATATATCTATTAACCGGTTTAATTACAATTAAATATACTAAACCTTATTTTTATTAATTATAAATGGTCCATAAGGTCCTAGTTAGTCATATATTTATCCTAGTTTACTCCAATATTTATTTCATAATTATTTTCGTCATTTAGTTAATTATTTACTAAATGTGTATAAATTAGCCTAATTACCATTAAATCAATTAAAAATAGCTAAAAATATTATTTTCCAATTCTGGTTGGTCCGAATATGTATATTTATACTAGGTATTTAATTTATATTTTTCCAGATTTTATTTATTTCATTTACTATTTTATTTTTAATTTTTATTGCAACTGGGCCGAGCTGGCCCATTTATAATTTTTTCTGGCCCAACCTGAAAAGGCCCAAAAGACAGACCCAGCAATTGCTGGGTTGTCTTCTTCCCCAGGTCGCCGGAAAAACGGGGAGAGAGAAAAAAACGGGGAAAGAGGTTTTACCTCGTCGGAAACGGCCAACGGGGTAGCGGTGCACTCCTCTCGGGACGGCGAATGACGGTGGTGGATTGGCGGAAGTGGCAGCCCCTCCCTCTTCTCCGTTTTCCGTCGAAAAGTTTTTCTCCGGCGAAACTCCGGCGAGGCTTTTCTCCCTCGTTTCAAGACCGTTTTCGACGATTCTTTTTTCGTTGGATTCGTATCACGAAGGGGAAGGTTTGAGAAGTATTTTCAGGGCTTGTTTCTGGCTAAAACGCTGGGTCGTAAAAATATATATAAATACGTATATATGTATATTTCTTAGTTTTGGGGATGAAGAAAACGCAGGTTCTGGCCTATTATTTATAGGGGAAGATGAGGGTTTTAGAGTTGGAGTTGGAGTTTAATCAGTTTCATTTTTTTGAAGCTGCCGGACTCCTCCCGGTGGTGAGTTTCTTGCTTCGATCGTTCGTTGTTTAGTTTGATTAGGAGTAGTATTTTGGTAACTGTATTCTATTAGTAGTACGTAGGTATAGTTTAGTTTATATATATTACGTATGTTATATTACGTATGTTATATACGTAGTTTATATATACGTAGGTATAGTACGTATGTTATACTATTATTATTACTTACGTATATATATATATATATATATATATATATATATATATATATATATATATATATATATGTATTATGAGTATTTTAATTATTTAGTATATACTTTGTATATTATACAACCTAAAATAGTTATATAAAAATTAATTTTATACTAAAACATAACTTCTATTATCGGGCCATTTTTATCTGATTAAAAAAAATTTGTGAACTTGGAAATTTTATCTGATTAGAATGTTACGACTGTTGAATTTTTGTCTGACTCAATTAATAATAAAAATGTTATTTTCGTAATATTTTATCTGATAAAAAAAATTTATTTTTATTTTTATTTAAATTTTTGAAGTGTCACATTCTACCCTCCTTAAAAGATGTTTCGTCCCGAAACATTAACTAAATCTAAGTACTCAGATTCTTAAGTATTACATTCTACCCCCCTTAAAGAGAGGTTACGTCCTCGTAACTAATATTTTACCTTAGTCAAATAACTCTGGATAACGTTTGCGCATATCCTCTTCAGTCTCCCATGTGGCATTTTCGGCCAAATGGTTAGACCACAACACCTTCACCATCTTAACCGCTTTTCTTCTAGTCTCACGAGTCTTAGTATCCAAAATCTGGATCGGCCTCTCCTCGTAAGTCAATGATTCATCTAACTCGACCACCTAAGAAAGTCGAGGTTAGATGTGATACTTGGATCTAATTATCATAAGGTTACGATTCGTACCTCGGGGCTAAGAATATGGGATTCGTCGCGGACATACTTCTTCAATTGGGAGATATGAAAAACATTGTGTACCTACGCATAACACGCTTTAGTACTTGAGAGAAGTTTATTAAGGTATTCACTAACGAGCGGTTATAGTATGTTATACCTTAGCCAACTCGGTGGGTAGAGCTAGACGATATGCAACTTTTCCCACTCGCTCGAGGATGTCATATGGCCCAATGAACCTCGGGCTTAGCTTTCCCTTCTTTCCAAATCTCATTACTCCCTTGGTCGGGGAGACTCTGAGTAGGACTTTCTCTCCTGCTTCGAATTCGGCTGGCTTCCTTCCCAAGTCTGCATAAGACTTCTGACGATCTTGTGCAGCTTTCATCCTTGCTTGAATCATCTTCACTTTCTCTATGGTGTCTTGGAGGTAATCCGGCCCTAACACCACTTGATCTTCCATGCCACTCCAGCATAGTGGGCTTCTACACTTTTGACCATATAGAGCTTCGTACGGGGCCATTTTAATACTGGCGTGGTAGCTATTGTTGTAAGAAAACTCTATTAAGTCTAAGTGTTCGTCCCACGATCCTTGTAGGTCTAACATACATGCTCTTAGCATGTCCTCGAGTGTTTGGATGGTTCGCTCCGTTTGTCCATCAGTCATCGGGTGAAATGCAGTACTCAGCTTCAGCTTCGTCCCCATAGCAGCTTGCAACTCCTTCCAGAATTGAGATAGGAATCTGGAATCTCGGTCAGAAACAATGTCTTGAGGAACTCCATGGTACTTAACCACGTGCTTGATGTAAGCACGGGCTAACTTCTCCATGCTCCAAGTCTCGTTCATCGGGATAAAGCGAGCGGTCTTTGTTAACCGGTCGACTATAACCCAAATTTTGTCATGGCCAGACTTGGTTAGGGGTAAGCCCCCAACAAAGTCCATGGAGATGGAATCCCACTTCCATTTTGGTACTTCCAAGGATTGCACGAGTCCCTTGGGCTTGCAACGTTCGGCTTTCACCTTCTGGCAGTTCAAGCATCGAGCCACGAATTCAGCTACCTCTTTCTTCATGTTCGGCCACCAAAAATTCTTTTTGATGTCTTTGTAGAGTTTGTCGCCTCCAGGGTGCACTGAGTAGGGCGTGTTGTGCCCTTCCTCCATGATTTTCTTCTTAAGCTCTTCGCATTTCATCGGAACACACCATCTTCCTTTGTGTCGAATGCTCCCGTCTTCGTGCAGTTTGAACGGTCCGTTCACGCTATTTGTCATACCGGCTCGGATTCTGTCCAACTTGATGTCTCCAGGTTGCCCTTCTCGAATTTCGTCGAGAATAGATGGGGTAACGGTCATGGTGAGTAACCGCGTTTCCTGATCTACCTCTCCGAAATCCCGAACTTCCAAGTCTAGCTTCTGAAAGTCCCGATATAGCTCATCAGGAAGTATCCATGTTGCTTTGCAGGAGTGAGTTGATTTTCGGCTCAACGCGTCGGCAACTACGTTTGCTTTCCCTTCATGGTACTGGATCTCCAAGTCGTAGTCTTTGACGAGTTCTAGCCAGCGTCTCTGTCTCATGTTAAGCTCCTTTTGGGTGAAGATGTACTTCAGGCTCTTGTGGTCGGTGTAAACTTTACAGTGTACCCCATAGAGATAGTGCCTCCACAGCTTTAGAGCAAAGATAACCGCTGCCAGTTCTAAGTCATGAGTCGGATAGTTGACCTCATGTATCTTCAGTTGCCTTGATGCATAGGCCACCACTTTGCCGTTTTGCATCAATACGCAACCCAATCCCTTTAAACAAGCATCGGTGTAAATCTCGAACCCTTCAGTCCCAGATGGTAGGGTCAAGATAGGTGCAGTTGTTAATCTTTGCTTCAGCTCTTGGAAAGCTTTCTTGCACTCATCACTCCATATGAACTTCGTGGTTTTCTTCGTGAGATTAGTCAAAGGTTTTGCTATCTTTGAGAAATCCTTCACGAATCTGCGATAATAGCCCGCCAGGCCTAGAAAGCTCCGGACCTCCGTCACGGTTGTGGGTGCAGGCCAGTCTATCACTGCTTCGATCTTGGATGGATCAACGGATACACCTTCTTGAGTGATGATATGGCCCAAGAATGCGACCCGGTCCTTCCAGAAATCACACTTTGAGAGTTTGGCGTAAAGCTGATTTTCTCTCAAAGTCTGCAGGACGAGCCTCAGATGTTCTTCGTGATCCTTCTCGTTCTTCGAGTACACCAAAATATCATCAATAAACACTACCACAAATGTGTCAAGGTATGTGCGAAATACACGGTTCATTAAGTCCATGAATACTGCTGGTGCGTTGGTTAAACCAAACGGCATCACGGTGAACTCATAATGCCCATATCTTGTACGAAATGCAGTCTTCGGTATATCTTTCTCTGCGATCCTCACCTGATGGTAGCCGGATCGAAGATCAATCTTGGAAAATATACCCGCTCCCTTCAGTTGATCGAACAGGTCATCTATGCGAGGTAGCATGTACTTATTTTTGATGGTCGCGTTGTTTAGTTCCCTGTAATCGATGCAGAGTCTCAGACTCCCATCCTTCTTCTTCACAAATAAGACCGGAGCGCCCCAAGGTGAGACACTCGGTTTGATGTAACCCTTCTCCAACAGTTCCTCGAGTTGTTCTTTTAGCTCTTGCATCTCCTTCGGTGCCATTCGATATGGTGCTTTTGAGATGGGTCCGGTGCCTGGCATTAGATCTACTGAAAACTCAACTTCCCTCTCTGGCGGCATCCCCGGAATTTCTTCTGGAAACACGTCCGGAAATTCATTGACCACAGGGATTTGGTCAATGGTTGGACTCTCGGACGTCAAGTCTTTGATCATGCACAAGAAAACCTCATACCCCTTCCGGACGTATCGTTTGACTTGTTGCATGGTTGCCAGCTTCACGCCTGGCCTAGATGTGACCGTTTTGTAGGATATACGTTTCTTATTGGGTCCTCTCAAGACCACCTTTTGTTCATCACATAGGATTTTGGCTTTATATTTCCCTAGCCAGTCCATACCCAACACCACGTCGATATCCTCCAAGTCAAACTGGATTAGATCTCCGGGTAGTTCAGTATCGGATATGACTATGGAAATTTTGGAGAAAACATTCCCACACGCTACAACTTTGTTGGATGCCGTTTTTACATTAAGATTAAGTTTAGAGCTAGGTTCTAGCTTTGACTTTTCCACAAATTTTGAGGCTATAAAACTGTAGGAAGCACCCGAATCAAATAGTACAAAAGCAGGTGTGGAGTTTACAAGGAAGGTACCTGACACCACATCGTGCGCATTTGCTTGAGCCTGGTTCATGACGTAAATCCGGCCTTGGGTGTTGTTCTGCCCTCCCTGGCCCGGATTACGGTTGGCCTCCGCTGGGCGGTTTCCAGGATTACCACGGTTGTTGTTGGCATGATTAACCCCACCCTCGGCTTGGTTGTTTCCCTGGTTTTGTCCCTGGTTCGTGGGTTTCCTGCACTCGTATGCCCGATGTCCCAAGAGGTTACCGTTGCGACACCTCACCGCATTTCCCGCACAATCCTTCCCGGGATGGTTGTTTGGGCATAATTTGCATCTATGGTGTCGCATCTGAGTTGGCTGGTTTCTGCCCTGCCCCTGGTTTTGGAAATTTCCTCCACCTTGATTGATTTGCCTTTGCTCAGGGCGGTCGGTTCTGGCCTTCTTTTGTTGCTGATCCACCTTAGCATTCTTCCGATCTCTCTTATGGGCTTCTCTCTCCTTCTGGTGTACTAGATAGTACTTACCAGCCTTCCTATAAGCTTCGTTCAAATTCCGCGGTTCCGCTACTGTCACGAACTTTTGGGCCCCGAAGTTAAGCCCATTAACAAACCTGCGGGTCATACTAGCCTCTGTCGACACCAGGTCCTTGGCAAAACGAGCCAGTTGGACGAATTTCGTGTGGTACTCCTGAACAGTCAGGTCACCTTGTTTAAAGTTGACAAATTCTTCATAATTTGCTTCCTTCACGTGATCTGGGTAGAAGCGATCCCGCAATGCCACTATGAAGTCCTCCCAATCGAAGCCCGGTTGCCCGAGAAGTGCTGGTCCGTTGGCGGCCCACCAGTGGTCCGCTTCTTGGTGCAGATAATACACTGCAATATTCACCCGTTGCTCCGACGGGCAATTTAGTGAATCAAAGAGCTTGTCGAAGGTGCGGATCCAGTCCTCCAAGATAAGGTGGTCCTCCTCGCCCAAGTATTTTGGAGGGTTCCGTCCGGCTACCTTTGTTGCGTAGTCGATCCCAGGGTTTTGGGGTTGAGCTGCTCCGATGAGCTGCGCCATTCGCTGGACAGTTTGGGCCAGCTCGTCGACAGTTGGGGTCGCATGGATGTCTCTTCTCGGCGGCATGACTCTTAATAAAGAAAACGTGTACTAAGTTCTAAGGCATGCATAAGGCTTCTAGTTATACAAGTTCTCTACTATCTTTAAACAGATAAACACATACAAAGGATCTTACTTACTCCACATACTTCACATAAGCACGAATTTCATGCATTTCATAACTCAATAACTTCGCAAAGGTTCCTCCCTCTCACCGCGTCCTAAAAGGTCTTTTTCCTAGTATGTTAATTCTCCTAATTTTACAAAAACATTTTGAAAAATCCCCGTATCGAAACTATAGTTTTCGTCAAAGATTTCGAACAACGAAGTTTCAGCACAAGGAGAAATTCCCAGTTAGTTGGACGAGCGCAAGGCTCAATTAGGCACCAACTAGCTTAGACTGTTATCGTCTTTGTGACAGAATTCCTCCCTACGACCTATTACCTCGGGTTCTAGTCCCTTCGGAAAACCTAAGTCTCTGATACCAATTTGTAACACCCCTAAATTTCCCGCCCAAAACATTGACATATTTAAAAGAAATACTTTATTCATTCATCAAAGAGTTGAAGAAATACAGCGGAAGTCTAAAAGGGAAATGAGTGTTACCGCCACATTCGGTCATCTCTTAACCGAATGCACAGGCAACTCAAAGTAAAACAATAAAAACTAATGTAATAATAAGTAAATGTTTGATTTATGACTAGATTTAACTAAGGCATCTTCTAATTCGCACTCAAGCTCGAGCAATCCGTCAATCCACATAGGTATCCAACTCATCACCTGATTTAAGGGAGAAAAGAGAGACAAGAAAATAACAAAAATTAGCTTTAGAGCTAAGTAAGTACTACCCAACCCCGTAAAATAATCAGGTTTGGCTAAAAATAGATTTTTATATAATAATATATAAAAATACTCACACCATCAAAATTCTTTTCACTTTGGTTTTTCTCAAACTACTTCTTTGCTAAAATCTTAAACTTCTCTTGGAAAATCTCTTAGTAACTCTTCTTTTTAAACTTCTTAAGAAAATCACTTCTTCTCTAATTTCCTAGTAATTTAGAAGGGCGGTGCTCAACCTTTCGATAGAGCCCGGTGAACCGTGGTTACGGACGGCCACCCCGAACAAGTGCCGGTACCACAACTGCTCTGTTGGAAACGAAACGACTACCTTAAGTGTGCACACCCCCTAAAAGGGATTCCAAGCCCTCCGAGTAGTAAGTCATCCCGAGTGGTCGGAACCCAACCACCCCAATTCTAAAATTCTTGAATGATTAGTGACTACTACTATAACTTCTTCTTAAAAGGGATCATAGATCCAAATCTTACTTAAAAGGGATCATAGATCCAAATCTTACTTAAAAGGGATCATCGATCCAAATCTTACTTAAAAGGGATCATAGATCCAAATCTCACTTGAAACTTAAACTGTACTTCTTAGTAGTAGTAGCTCTAATCACCCTCCACATTTATCCGGATGTGGAAAAACCGACACCTCGAATTACTCCCGAGATGCTCACTTCTTATAAAAATGTAAATTTTATCTTTGCTTAACAATACTTCAAAAATACTTCTTAATTTCTCTAAAAAGTCTCGAAGGTATTTAAAATATTTAATACCCCAAAAAGTACTTAATTTATATTTCTCAACCACCATATATATAATATCTCCTCAAAATCACATACACATAATTCAAAATTCACACTTAATCACATAATGCATAATAAGCATATAATACGAGGAAACAAATTTTGGATTGGCAGAGAAACTTACCTTAAGTCCTGTTGCTCCTAGTTATCCTCCTCTAATCCGGTCTCTAGATAATCACCTTTTTAATTAAATATGATAAATTAGTCACTTATTCTATTTGTAATTACTTTACCCGATTTTTCCCTTTTATTGTATTATTCGCATAAACTTTGGTTAATCACTTTTTATTACTCAAATTACCTTATTAATTCAGCCATTAATTACAATATTTGAATTCTAATATTAAATAAAATATCCGAATATTATTGACTACAACATCCACTTTTTATTCAATAATCACCATTAATTTTCTCTAATTATTATCTAATTACTTTATTTACATAACCGAAAATATTTATTTTCCTTATTTTATTCAAACATTATTTTTAGTCCAGAATATTATTTTTCAACCTCAGAAATTTATTTATTTCACCATTAATACTAATATTTCCTTATTTAATTACTTAACTAGTTTTATATGGCCTAATTTAAATAAATAGACTAAAAATCGACTTTATAAATTAGTAACCGTCCATAAATATATTTTGGGTCTATATTAGACCTAGGTTGTTCAGATATCTATTTTATAATTATTTCCCATAATTATTCCTTTAATTTCATATATCTATTAACCGGTTTAATTACAATTAAATATACTAAACCTTATTTTTATTAATTATAAATGGTCCATAAGGTCCTAGTTAGTCATATATTTATCCTAGTTTACTCCAATATTTATTTCATAATTATTTTCGTCATTTAGTTAATTATTTACTAAATGTGTATAAATTAGCCTAATTACCATTAAATCAATTAAAAATAGCTACAAATATTATTTTCCAATTCTGGTTGGTCCGAATATGTATATTTATACTAGGTATTTAATTTATATTTTTCCAGATTTTATTTATTTCATTTACTATTTTATTTTTAATTTTTATTGCAACTGGGCCGAGCTGGCCCATTTATAATTTTTTCTGGCCCAACCTGAAAAGGCCCAAAAGACAGACCCAGCAATTGCTGGGTTGTCTTCTTCCCCAGGTCGCCGGAAAAACGGGGAGAGAGAAAAAAACGGGGAAAGAGGTTTTACCTCGTCGGAAACGGCCAACGGGGTAGCGGTGCACTCCTCTCGGGACGGCGAATGACGGTGGTGGATTGGCGGAAGTGGCAGCCCCTCCCTCTTCTCCGTTTTCCGTCGAAAAGTTTTTCTCCGGCGAAACTCCGGCGAGGCTTTTCTCCCTCGTTTCAAGACCGTTTTCGACGATTCTTTTTTCGTTGGATTCGTATCACGAAGGGGAAGGTTTGAGAAGTATTTTCAGGGCTTGTTTCTGGCTAAAACGCTGGGTCGTAAAAATATATATAAATACGTATATATGTATATTTCTTAGTTTTGGGGATGAAGAAAACGCAGGTTCTGGCCTATTATTTATAGGGGAAGATGAGGGTTTTAGAGTTGGAGTTGGAGTTTAATCAGTTTCATTTTTTTGAAGCTGCCGGACTCCTCCCGGTGGTGAGTTTCTTGCTTCGATCGTTCGTTGTTTAGTTTGATTAGGAGTAGTATTTTGGTAACTGTATTCTATTAGTAGTACGTAGGTATAGTTTAGTTTATATATATTACGTATGTTATATTACGTATGTTATATACGTAGTTTATATATACGTAGGTATAGTACGTATGTTATACTATTATTATTACTTACGTATATATATATATATATATATATATATATATATATATATATATATATATATATATATATGTATTATGAGTATTTTAATTATTTAGTATATACTTTGTATATTATACAACCTAAAATAGTTATATAAAAATTAATTTTATACTAAAACATAACTTCTATTATCGGGCCATTTTTATCTGATTAAAAAAAATTTGTGAACTTGGAAATTTTATCTGATTAGAATGTTACGACTGTTGAATTTTTGTCTGACTCAATTAATAATAAAAATGTTATTTTCGTAATATTTTATCTGATAAAAAAAATTTATTTTTATTTTTATTTAAATTTTTGAAGTGTCACAAGGAACTTGTCTAAGGTGTTCCTAGAACTTCTACAAAGTTGGAATACTTCGCCGGAGTTTCTCCGGAGTTCAACAAAACTCGCCAGAGTTTCGCCGGAGTTCAACCAAGAAGGGTAGAACGCATTAAAGCTTCGTCTAAGGTGAGAAGATGGATTTATGCTTTATAACTTTTGCGTGAGGCATGAGATTACCTAAAGTAATCAAAAATATGTTTTATGGAATGATTAAGGATAATCAAGTATTTGACAATGCCATGACTATATATAAAACATAGTTGAAAAGCATGTTATTTACGTTTGATGATTAAAAATGTGATAAATTATTATGTGCGATGTTCCAGGGATCCAAAATGGTAATTTTGGATTGAGGACGTCAAGAAGTACATGTGTGTAAAATTTCACGTTAATTGGACTCCGTTTGGGTGGTCAAACGGGCGTTGACCGCCAAGTCAACTGCCATACCCGACCGGGTATTGACAGTACCCGACCGGGTATTTGCTGAAAATTTGCCCCAGGGGGCTACTGCCTCCTATACCCGATCGAGTATGGGTAGATACTCGATCGAGTATACATTGAAAATTAACCTTATGGGCTACTGTCTCCTGTACTCGACCGAGTATAGATGGGTACTCGATCGAGTATTGGGTTATACTCAAAACGGACAGTTTTAGAGTAGGTTAACGTGGGTCGTTCAAGTGGGACCCGTCCACGTTGATTACTAAGGATGTTTATATGACTATAGGGGTAGGTATTGCCCATAGTTAAGGGAATGAAAGGTTAGGCATATCCAGGTTAGGATTTG